GGAGAGAGAGAGGGAGAGAGAGAGGGAGAGAGAGGGAGAGAGAGGGAGAGAGAGGGAGAGAGAGAATGGAAGGGAGCGAAAGCAAGGAAGAGAGGTGAGAGGGAAGAAATGGGATCGAAAGAAAGGGGAGCAATAGGAAGGGGAGCGAGAGAGAGGAAGAAAAATCGCAACCGATACAAAATTTCACCTAAAGATCCCTAAAATCGCATCATGGTTCCTTAGAGGTCCACGGCTAGAACCTATTACTGAAATAATGAAATAATTACTGAAAGTAAAGGAAAGTTTAAAATGAAAATCAGTATAAAAGAAATTGAATTGCGTTATACTATTCATTATAATTATTAACATGGGAATTTTATTTTTTCCTGTCATATTTGACTGACAATTTTTTACTTCTGCCAAACGGATTTCACCCTAGTATATCAGCAATATTACCCGACACTAAATTAAAAACCTTAACACTACATTAAAAGCACACATACCAATGTTTTGATAAAAAGAAAACAAAGAAATGGAAACCGAAAGAATGAATATTACAACGTAACAACGGAATGCGTTGGGTTGGTGTGTATGTTCATGGTGTCGTTCTTGGCCCTTGCATTGACCCTCCCGTTGCTGTGCGATATATGCTTGATTGCCTTTTTCCCTGAAGTTCTGGTATTCTACCAGAGGTTGTGTATTGAACTTTTCACAGTTGCTAATAGTTAATGTTGCTGTGGATAATAGAAAATAGAATGAAAAGTGGACAAAGGGAAACATTTCCAACACATTTTTCTCTCTTCGAGTTCGAAGTAGAGGCGAAAGGCGACTAGCAATATTTCCACTGTGTATAGTTATTCTCGAAGAAAATGGATTTCTCGTTTCAAGGAGGGTTGTTTTGACACAGATTATTCTCCAGAAAGACTAGAAATGCTAAGGAAAACCTTCCGGCTTTGATAAGAACTGTTTGACTCCTTAACCCTTTAACGCTAAAAATTAACATATTGCATATTAAGGTGTCTCTTACGTGTATCTCTCAAGTTTAATGAACTTACGAAAAACTACAGGCTTAAAAGTATTAATTCGCGTGATTGGCAAAATTAACTGCCATTTGCATGGGTTACCGAAGAATAATGTCTAACGCTTCTAAGCACCTACCGTTTGGTACCGACTGCGAGACTCTGAGACTGTAGAGGGGGCTAAGATCTTCTTTGAAAACTTTAGGAGCGAGCAACTCTAATTTGGGTTCTAATCGCTTATTCCCTACCGCGAGCGTGATTTAGAGGCACGCAAGGTGATTAACATATTATTTGAAGCGTTACTGACACATTTTTTACACTCTGATTATAATTTCCCAGACAAGGACAGTTTTGAGGGGGGCGTGATGTTGCAACCCACTCTCGCAGCACGCCCGAAATTGCGGCCGCCCATCCCAAGCTACACTCGTGGCGCACAGTTATGTTGCTCATTATGTTTAAAAGCCATGGAGTTAAAACCTTTGAATGGACTATTAAAGGATTTAGATCTTACATTTTATGTACACAGTTCATTGAATACTGGTGTAGTACCTCATAATAAATGTCACAAACGTCTAGAGCATGTAGGGGGCCGAAGATCATTAACTTTGTCAATGAACATGTGGTGAGAAATATCATATAACATGAACCATTTGCCCCTGATTGGTAGGCAACCACTCGTGCACCACTGTTCGGCGGTTGCAAAATTTGACGCAGAGAAATTAGCCTACGCGTTTCCCTAGGCTTTGCCAACGCTGACGTGATATAAAAAATCTCATTTCAAGATTCGATAACGTAGTACCCTCATCTTCGAAGATTCGTCATCTATTAGAAGTTTAATGAGAGTATCATGCATTTATATAAATTACTAAAATTATTGAAAATGTATTTCGAGAAAAGAATGTGCGAGATATAATTCGATGTTGAGAAGTTTTGAAGAAAAAAAAACAACAAAACTGTATATCACTCCTAAAGTTGAAAAGTTGTGAACAAATAAAATAAAACTTGGTTCATCTGTTCGTACTTCAATAAGGAAACAACGAAGATTTAATACTTGGTACATATTATTTCTCAGAAAAGGATCTTCCTCGATTTCATTGTTCTTAGATGCAAATACAAAGTGGAAAAAAGCTTTGTCATAAAAAGCTGTTTCTTTTGGAGTATGTTTCAAGTACTTTTAAAGTTTCTCCACATTCTTCTCTTTTTCTTTGACTCTCTTTATCTTGTTTTCTTCTCGGCACCAATGAGTGTATTGCAGGATCTCCAGGAAGTGTCTGACGTCGTCTTCAGAACAGTGTATTTACTCCAGTATAACACGTAATATGTTTTTCAGTGTTGCTGTTACTCCTTTTGTTAGTAAAAAGTCTTCTTTAACAGGAATAATAGCTTTGGTTATTTCTTCGTCAAAAGGAGTAAATTTGTTAGAGCAATTTTTGAAGTATAGAGTATCCGGTTATTACTAAGAACTTTTACCATACCATGCTCACACAGAATGGAATTATAGTCCTCTGGATGTGACCTGTACCCTTATCTCAATTCTCGCAATCGGCGGAATATCATTCAACTGGGCTCCTGATAGGGACGTAGTGTTCTACTTTACTGAAAATGAGTCGTGTGCGGTACCGCGCAAGTGCAGTAGAGCGGACTAAGCATTTTATGGAGAATTACAATACATCACTAAGAACTACTTTGAAAAAACAAATATAGTTTTATCGGCTCAATAACTTGGCGAATAAGTACTTTTTGAAAAGTAATTGTTTCTGCTTAGATGCATCTATGCCTAGTAATAAGAGTTAACAACAAAATGAAAAAATAAAAAAGTCGTATTGCGTTTTCGAAACTACCCCTATTAGGACATAAATTAAGCTCCAACTGCTACTGAATGTTTCACGAAAGCATGAAAAAATGCATGTTTACATCTGTCCATTGCAACTACAGGGACAGCAGCGCTGATTGTTGAATCAAATATAGGACAAAGTGCGATCACAACATTCGGTGTTGCACGCACTGACTACATAGGATGGGTTTCGTACATAGGATGAAGACGCTACATTACTTTTTGGATTTTCTCCAATATGATGTCATGCGTGTTTACGAAGGAAATGGGGCGTATAAGCCTTTTGGAGCACTTTGTTAATGCCGTCAGGTATAAATGATAAGTGACGTGAACAATTAAATAAGAAATAGTTTTGATAATAGAAATTGCTTTATAAGCGGATCTCTTTGATTTGCAGGTTAAGGTTTAGCCACAAATTCAAAAATTTTGTTTCAAAAGTTTTGTGTTCTGATATTTAAGTGATTATACATTAGCATTAATCACACATTGGAGGTAATTTGTGGTTCAAGGTATCTTGCTGCTTCGTACCAGGATGTAAATCTGGGTACAATAATGAAAGATAATTTTTCTTAAATATCAAACGACAAGGAAACGTTTACAAAACCAAGAGAAGTTCATAGAAGAAACATAACTTACAGAACAATCTATTATGTGTGATGTAGACTTTTATGAAGTATTGATAATTAAACTGACACATTCACAAAGTCGTGTTATTGCCTCGTGTGTTCTCAAGTTTACCGAGGGATTTATCAAGTTCAGAGAGGCGGCGGGTGAATGA